GGAGTAGGCTTCCGGGTTGGTGTAGCGAATTTTGGTGTGAGACACCTATTCTGTTTAGTATTTACTTATGTGGCATGTATTTTGTCTTGAGGTTGAACTTGTGTACTAAATCTTATGTGAATGTACCGGGCTTGGGTGGACTTGACTTACTTCCTTTTGACACCCAAGCTTGGGTTTACTTTGATTATGTGCTTAACTCATTTCTCCTATTTGGGTGAGTACAAAAAATGAGCACAACCATCCTCACCCTGGGTTCCCTTAGATGTGATTCGTCTAGGTCACTCTAAGTTTCACATCTATTCCGATCCTATCTTATATTACGTGTTGAGTTCATCAGGATAACGCTATCCTTTTTTCAAAAATCAAATAAGGTTGGAGTTTTGGTTTCCCAGATAAAACTACTTTTTGAATTCGAAAATCTACACAATTATCTAAACCAATGGTATTTCAACTGATGCTATAAAATGAATGCCTGAGGACGGGGTTCAAGTACCTGGATGCTATGGCTCACAAGCGTAGGCTAAAACTTCGCTTCCGCCTTTGCGCTGATATCCCAAAAAATGGTTGTTCTCCCAAGAGAAGAGGTGCTAGAGGAGTAGAGATTCGCTCTGGTGGGGGTTCTTCAACTGGTTCGCCAGCAAAGTCATCTGACTGCTCCGAGGTTCCGAACTCGTTGCCTAGTCGTGAATGTAAATCCAGGACTCGGTCGGGATCTGACAACAGATGCGGATTCCATTCTGGCTCTCCTTCGGTTCGTGGTGGGCACCCACCAGATTGCGTTAGAAGAGAAAGAGAAAGTCCCAAACCTTCTCGCTTGAACAGAGGTGATGCTGACCCTTCATACTCTACGAGGGACGACCCTGGGCCGTCACGTTTCGGACATCGTCACCTGCATTCTGATAGGGATAGAGAAACTTCTCCATGGACAAGTTTTTATCAGATGGAGAGGGAAAGAGACTTACTAATGGAAACCTTGACTCGCCTTAGAAGGGAACTGGCAGATGTGGACCGTGTCGTGGCTCACGCTCACTCTGAAGGGATTCGTGACGGCTTCCAGCAAGGGGTCAGCTATTTTCGCGACAAAGCCAAAGCAGCTTATTCATTTGTTGATTGGGATAACTTCCCAAGAGGGACAAATTGAGTTTAGGGAGTGGTAATAAATTCGGTTTCAATGCCCGATCCTCACTAGGGCTCTAGTGGGGTAAGTCCAACTAGTTAATTGTGTAATCTTTTGTTTCGTAGTATTAGTTTGTTTCATTTTGCGTTGGCCCACGGCCTGTTGTGATTTCTTGTATCTTTGAGTTTTTGAATAAAGTTGGAAGGATTCTACTTCCCATTCGGTTTCCCACAATGTGTGCAAGTTTAAGTGTATTTAAATTCCTTCAAGGCGATCTTGGAATCGGCATGGTCCCAACTAACTAATCCTAGAGGACTGACAACCTTAGGGAAATGTTAGGATTCGCACGGATCCTATCGACTTCCCCTAGAGGATTAGTAATTTCTGGGTGATGTTGGGATCGGCCTGGATCCAACTGACTGCCCCCAGAGGATTGGCCACCTAGGGGTAGTGTTGCGATCGGCATGGACCCTATTGATTGCCCCCAGAGGATTGGTAACCTCTGGGTGTTGGGATCGGCATGGATCCAATTGACTGCCCCCAGAGGATTGGTCACCTCGGGGTAGTGTTGCGATCGGCATGGACCC